ATAAAATAAAATAAAATAAAATAAAATAAAATAAAATATTTTTTTCTCTCTCATTTTAAATCGTAAAGCCTAGCTATTCACATTTTCTTACTCCTCTCCTTTTCCCCTTTCCTTTCCATTAACCGTCTCCTCAGCCACCCACACACTTCCTCAGATGTACCTTGTAACCTCCTTCCTGCTTTCGTCTCCAGACTTGTCATAACCGCACTACCCCTCTGGCACATTTGGTCTTGGCCGGTACTGTCCATTTTTCTGGGCAACTGCCTTTTTGTTTTCCTTTACATCTCTGAAATACAGAGGGTTTTTGTTTTCCTCCTCTAGAGAAAAACACTTGCTTCAAATTAATTGTGTAAGCATTATAACCTATAAACTGAGCCTTTAAAATGAAAGAACTCTCAAAGATGATATAGTTACATATTGCCTTAGTTCGCTAGTTTCTTTTGTTCACATAAACGTGGATATTCTGAAATATTTTGTAACACTGACCTAGCTTAGAAATGAACCATTCAGTGCCAGGAAGTGTTCGTGACCCCCGTTTCTACTGCCTTCCAGGCACCATCCAGGAAGACTACCTGAGAGAGCTGCTGACAACGATGGGAGACCGGTTTACGGATGAGGAGGTGGACGAGCTATACAGAGAAGCGCCTATCGACAAAAAGGGGAATTTCAATTACATCGAGTTCACGCGCATCCTTAAACATGGAGCAAAAGACAAAGATGATTGAAAGAACTTCAGCTAAAACCTTCCAATTGCTTTGTCTTCCTCTGTTTTATCTCCCAGACACTGTCCCCCACCCGCATAGACCTGTTGCATGCAACTTAGTTTCACGGCTTTGCCTCTTTTTTTGATGTATTTATTCTAGACCTTTCTGCCATTTAGCACTTGTATAATCAGACTGCAAATGGGGTTGAGGTTGTAAATTGTTCTGAAAAAGAGATTGCGAATAAAAATCAACAAATGTGAAAGCCCAGGAAAATATATCCGGTATTTCTGGTTTTGCTGGATTTTTACATTTTTATATAATAAAACACTATTTTGAAATAAAGATTATGGTGACTCAAATGGAATATAATGGAAAGTAGTTGGGGCAGTCTTTTTTTTTTTTTTTTTTTTTTTTTT